ACAGGTGGTCAAAGGAGACTTGACTGACAATTTACAAAATAGACTAGAGGAAAGCAGAATTTTTTTAAAAGTTCACATACTTTTTGGTAGAGTTTTGGGGACTCTGGCCACAAGATATCCTACTTCTCTTACTGCCTCTGACACACCAGGGCTTTCTCTAACCACAGGCTGCGTAAATTGCCCCTTATTGATACAATTTGGGAAGTCATGCTCAGAGACACCCTCCCCCCACCCCAGATTCCTTCCTGACAAGCCCATCTCGGTGCTTGAAAGTTTACTGCTAAAGAATCATTGATTGGGGCAGCCTGGTGGCATGGTGGTTAAGTTTGCGCCCTCAGTTTCAGTGGCCTGGGGTTCACTGGTTTGGATCCTGGCTGCAGACCTACACACGGCTCATCAAGCCATGCTGTGGTGGCATCCCACATACAAAATAGAGGAAGACTGGCACAGATGTTAGCTCAGCGACAATCGTCCTCAAGCAAAAAGAGGAAGATTGGCAACAGATGCTAGCTTACGGCCAGTCTTCCTCGCCAAAAAGAAGAATCATCATCATTTATTTATTCATTTATTTGTTCAACCAATTCTTAGTCTGTGCCTATTAGGTGCTAGAGGAGAATGACACGGCCTCAGCACAAATTGCCAGTACTTCCCGTGTCTTAAGATCATGGCCAACATCACTAATAGATTATTCTGCTGCTTTTTGAAGAACTAAGATGCAGACAGCCAACCCAGATAGTATGAATTTGTTCATGTCACTCCCCTACTCAGAATTCCTCGATTGCTTCCCTCTTTGTATGATGAAGACCGAAGTCTTTACTGTGGCCCCCAAAGGCCCATGTGACCTGGCCCTGCCTCCTCTCTGGTGTCCCCCTAGACCAGCCTCATCTTTGCTCTCTGTCCCCCAGCTACATTATCTTTCTTCTAGCTCCCCCAAGGGTCCGTCTTCCTTCTGGCTTTAGGATCTTCAAACTTGCTGTCCCTCTGGCTAGAATAGTCCCTGCTCGTCCCAGCACACCCTCTTTACCTAGTTAACTCCTGTTTGTTCTCGAGATCCCAGCTCAGACGTCACATCCTCAGGAGCCTCCCCTTGATGAGCCTTGCGCCTGGTCTGGGCTGGATCCCCCTTCTCCTCGCCTTCATGGCACGAGGTCCTGTTCTGCCCAGCACTGATTACGGTTTACAGTTAGATTCATCTGTGCTGTTAGCATCAGTCGCCCCGACAGACCTTCATGTCGCGTTGTCTCAGCACATTATTCTGGAGCTGAGCTTGATACCTGGTGCTTACTTAGCAGGTACTCAGTTCAAATGTATTGCATCAATGAGTATGAGCAGACATGTGAAAGGAAGTCCCTTCTTCATTGTTTTTCAGGCTGAGCACTGGGGACAAAAAGTGAAATACAGTGGAAAGAACATGCGCTTTGGAGTCAGACAGGGAAAGGGAAAATGCCAGTTGTTCACCTACTCCCTGCGTGACCCTGGCAAGGGGCTGAGCAGCCATCATTTATAGAGCGAGTGCTGTGTGCCAGGAACTAGGCAGGTATTTTATCCATATGCCCTCGTTCAGCCCTCACGACAACATTATGGTTTGATATTGTTGTATCTATTTTACGGAGAAGCAAATTGAGATGTTGAGAGGTCACATAGCTAACGATTTACTTATTTAAGTGGCAGAGAGAGGAGTCAAATTTGTGTTTGTCTGGTGCCAGGGTCCACGCTCCTGAACACTGTCTGTGTTGTTTAATGTCTGCAAGGTTGAGTTTGCTCGCTTTGAAACAGGACGGTAATTTTGTAAGTAACTCTGTCCTGAGAGCTCGTGTCTTATAATCTCCTCTTCACCCACTTGCACTATCAGATGAATCCCTGTGCTCAGTGGACTACTGGAGGCGAATGCTTGCTAGGGGCCGGTAGACAGGGTGAGTAAACTGGTTGAATTCACAGTTTTCCTGTTAGTTTCAGTTAGCCTTTGCTGCACCACAAACCACCCCAAAACACCGTGGCTTAAAACAACAACTATTCACTATTTCTCACGCTTCTGTGGGTTGGCTGGGTGGCTTCTCAGCCTGTGTCACCTGGATTCACTCATGTGGCTCTATTCACTGGCAGGCTAGAGGAGATGGAAGGAAGTAGAGCGTGGTCGGTGGCAGCTATAGGCACCTTAGCTCTCCCCTCAGGAGGCTCAGGGGCTTCCTGCCACAGCCCTCTCAGGGCATGCCGGGGCGGGGGGCGGGGAAGCAGAAGCTGCTGGGCTTCTTGAGGCCCAGCCCCACAGGTCTCACAGCATCACTTCCACCACGTTCTCTTGGCCTGGGCCAGTCACAAGGTGGCCCGATTTGAGGGATGGGGAAATAGATGTCCCCTCTAGAAAGTGGGGGAGCCAAAGACTCATTGCAAAGGAGCATAGGAGAAATTATTATGACATCTTTAAAAATAAAAACCCACACACAACATATGATGGAATATGGCACAGTCACCAAAAATAATGTTCACCAACATTTGCCATCAGTATAAGAAATGCCTTATGAAAATGGGAGAACAACCATATGCATTATTATTATAGCAAAACTTAGGAGCAAACAAACCACACATAGATGAAAGTGCAAAGTGAGGGAATAAAAACACGCAAATGAGAGAGGAAGAGGTGGAGCCCGACCTTCTGGGTGCTTCCAGGATTCACAGCACCAGGCAGTTGACAGAGAGGAGCCTTGACACCCGCTCTGGAGGCTGCCTGGGGGATGACGCACGCACAGATGTGGGGGCTCTTTTCTCCTGGTCCCAGGGGCATCTTGCCTTGCCGTAATTCCCGGCTTCCTTCTGGATCCTCTCTCGTCTTTTCATCATCCTCCCTAAGACAATGGTCCTCTCTGAGGTTTGGGGTTGCTGTCGTTGCAATGTGTGCTCTCCTCTCTGATAAAACAGCCCTTGCGTGCACTTCAGCAGCCCGTGGCCAGCTGTCCACCCCGTGCAGCTTAAGCTGAGAGGCCAAGGTCCAGCACCGGAGGACTCCAGGCTTCTCCCGAGCAGTCTGAACTGACCACTCTGCCCCGCACAGTCTTCCCAGGGTTGGGAGGAGGCACAGCTGGAGGCAGAGGCCCCGTGAGTCCAGGGACCAGGCCTGGAGCAAAGTGAGGCTGGGAGCCAGAGCACTTGCTGCCCTCAGCTGGGAGGGCTTCTCCCTTAGAAGGACCCACATCTCAGCTTAATAAAAGGGCTACGGATGCCTTTAGGGCTCCCTGGGGGCGATTGTCCTTTAATGACATGAAGACTTCTTTAGGGCCCCTGTGTAAGGTTTATCCTTTCTTTGTAGAATCTTCTGGCTTTAGCGCTGAGAAGAACGCTAGCCATTACTGTGCTCTCCCAGCGTCCCCCCAAGGACCCTGCACCCCACGAGGCTCTGCATTAACCAGATGCTTTTGCTGGATGTAGGAGATTTTTTTGGAAACTCATATTTTAGCTTTAATACTTTTGTAAATTTGATATTCTACTCTTCTAAAAATCTGATTGTTTTAATGAAATCATAATGTTTTCAGTATCTATCAAATAATGACTTTCCAAGAAGAATATCCCATGTATTCCTTTGTCTTCACATGCCCCAAGCTTGAGTATCAGGACTGAGAAATACAGACACAGCAGAATCTCTCCTTTTACTGGTGAGGGACCAAGGCTCCAAGGTTGGTTGATGGTCCTCAGTCCTGGGGTGACCCGCAGTCCAGGCTGGTCAGCTCCCTGTGCTGACTCCTGCCTGGACGTCCTCCCCTCACAGCCGTCGGCTCTGGGGTCCTCCTCAGCCTCGGACTGGGGTTTCGTTGGAGAGAAAGGAGACGAGAGGTAATATCTTCCAGATGTCAAAAAGATGACGTTACTTCTACAATTTAATTGCTTGTAATAATGAAGGGGTTGAGAGAAGCAGGGAGTAATTAAAGATTTTGAGTAAAGCAGAAGTTCAGGTTTAGCAAGTTAATGATGTTGGCAGGCGCAGAGGACAGGGAACTCCAAAGCCACAACCACCTACCCTTTTTGAGAAGAATGTGGCTATGGTGACTGTGTTTTACAAACCAAAACTACAGCCTGACAAAGAAATCGAAAACACGCTTTAAAGAAAAGAAGTCACTTTTGACTTAGGAATTTATTTTTTGTAAGCCTTAATAAAGGAATACAAATAAATCTATATACTTACACATTTTAAATAGCCTTTTGGAAAAGAATGAAAGTACCTATAATTGGGACTCCCCCAGAAAGTCTGCCTTATAAAATCTGCCTCAAGAGAGAAAGAGGACTTTTTTTGATGTGTTGCATTCATGAGTTCGTGGGTTTTAGAAGTTTTCATTTTGCTGCATATTCACTCCCTCCATCACATCACTGAACTCCCGTGGGTCAATTCCTGCATCTGTAAAATGACAGAATTATACAATTGCTATGGACCTTTAAAGTTTTGAAATTCTGTGAATCTATGCCTGCCTCAAGCATTTCCTTTCAAACGTGCCTTTCATATTTTATTTAACAAATGACTTCACTGGTTGGTAGAGGAAAGAGACTTGAAGGACCGGCACGTGTACCACCTCTTGCTACGGCCCTGAGAGAATGCTGTCCTGAAGTCAGCCCCCAGCCTCCGATGCACTGCGAGAATCTCAGGGGCTAGACAGGAATGGCCAACGGCAGGTACTCAAGTGTTACCAACAAAGGAAGGGTTGAATGAATGTGTCTGTATCTATTGTTACTTTGGATGTTAGTTCAGGAAATGCCTTTTTATTTTTTCCTGGGAGGACATCTGTCATTTTATTAAAATACTTTGTATAAAGTTTTCAAACTGAAGCAAAGTGATTGCCCTTACAAGCTCACAATTTATATAACAAATTAGCATAAACTGATACTCATTTTAATAGAAGGTGATGGAAGAAAATATGGAATTTATTTTGTGAAATCTTGGTATGTAGCTAACTAAAATATTTTAATAACTTTATTGATACATAATTCACATGCCATAATGTTCACCCAGTTAAAGTATACAATTCAATGGTTTTTAATAAATTTATAGAGTTGCTCAATTGTCACAATAATTTAGAACATTGTCATCACCCTAACAAGAAACTTTGTACCCATTAGCTGTCATCTCCCTTCCCCTCTCCCCACCTCTCCTCACTCCTCAGTCCCAAGCAACCACTAGTCTACTTTCTTCCTCTATAAATGTGCCTTTTCTGGACATTTCGTATAAAGCTAAATAAAAGATGACATTACTTATTGTAACATAATCCCGATTATGATATGTCCAATCCACCCTTGTGGACAAGCACATGCATATTTACCCAAATTCACATATCCAAATCAAAGGAGGCACACTTCGATATCAAAGTGGATTGCCTTCCATCATTTATACTTCTCTTTATTTTCCAACTTTCTGCACTGGGGATGCGTTGGTTCTCTATCAAATGTTGTTCTTTTGAATTTTAACAGTTTTTAGGCCACTTAGGTCATATTGATGATGCTGTGAAGTGATTGTAGAGGGTGTATAGGGTCTTCATTTTTATGAAGTAATGAAGAATTAGACTAATGTTGAAATATGTCTACTTCATGATGAACCTCTCTTTTCAAGTTTAGCAGCTTTACCTTTTAGTCCACATTTTCCCAATCCTTTATTATAAATTTGATTTCTGCTTACACATGATATAGTTTGTAAGAGCTTTTAAATCCTTTCTGGAATTAGGCCCAATATAAACAAACTACAGGTAAATCATATCAAAGATTGACCCATTTAATACAGATATGAGCGAGAAATGGATGAGAGAGGAAAACCCTCAGGGACTGGAACCTGTAGTCACATACCTCAGCTCACCTTTCCAGATTTGCCAACAAGGAGAACCCGTGACTGATTTGGATTCTCTGCTTTCTGTTCTTGTTCCCTGGAGGCGTTCCTTCTGTGTAAGGAAACGTCAGATTTGGGAACTAGACAAGCTATTTCAGAATTACGCGTGGTGTTGATTACAAATGCGAGGCTCACTAAATCAAGAGCTCCAGAAGCAGCGTCTTGGAATTTGTCTTTAACGACAACCCTGGTGCTTCCAGTGTACACACAAGTCCAGAAGCCCAGAGTGGAAGCAGAGGCGAGAGGCTGGGGTGTCACACTGACAGACAACGACCCCACCGACCACCCGCACAGGACCCTCCTTTTCTGAGGAAGGCACAGGTTGACTAAATGATTGCAACGTGGCAATCTTGAGTTTCTAGACTGTTGCCAGAAAGGCTTCCTTGGCCCTCAGCCAGGGCCCCACCCCTATAATCCTGCCTTCCCCCAACTCCTACCACGGGCTCCAATCCCGAAGATTTTGGGGGCCCCCGGAACTGGGCTTTTCTCACCACGGATAAACAGTGTTTGTGTGTACAAACCCAGTGGCCTCCCCAGGAGACTGCAGACATACTTTGTGGTACTTCACCTAAGTGTGGCTCTTCTGAGCGCAGATCCACTTTCCCTCTGAGGCTGACTCTTCCAGGATGGCCTTCCTCGGTTCCAGCTTGGGCCACCCTGGGCCACCCTGGGGCCCCTCTGCACACAGGTGAGATCTACCAGGAAAGCAGTTCCAACGGCTTAACTTGCCTCAGGCTGGGTCTTGGGGAGAAATGTTTCATTCCCAGGTGCAAAAGCAGAAAACACGCAAACGTAAGTTGTTTGCTAAAGTGAAAAATGTGAGCGTGGACATTCCTTAATACACGGTTTATGTTTCAGTGTAAGTTTTCCTGTAACATTGGGGTTAAAGAGGAAAGGAACTGGAAGTGGAATTGGTAATTCGGTAACTTCCATTCTGCTTTTAGGTTTGTGTATCCAGAAAAAAACAATCGCCGCTTTATCAAGAGAAAGACATCTGAAGGCAGTCTCAGATTGCAAATTTGTGAGTGACGTGTGCGGGGGTGGGGGACATGTGTGTGTGTGAGGTGTGTAATTCCAAAGATTCTTTCTAGCTTTCAACCTTTCCACAATCCATCAACAACTTAGACTAATAACAGGGTTTTCCTTCTTTTTTCATAGAAAATAAATTTTCTGCAAAGCAGATACAATTTGTTCTCCTTGAGTTATGGAAACAAAGAGGCTTTAGGACGGTGCTGTCCTCCCATCTTCAGATGTCAGAGACACCTTTCTCCTCTTGAAAGAGACAATTTTGTTCTGCTGATGGCAGTACAGGTAGGCACTTGAGTGTGTGAGAGTGTGAGCTGTGTGTGTCTGTGTTTGGTTTGTGTGTGTGAGTGTGTGGGGTGTAAGTATATGTGTGAGAGTGTGGGTGAATATGTGTGTGGATGTGAGTGTATGGTATGGGTGTGTGTATGTTCTGTAAACATCCTAAAGTTAACAAGGCCTGGAAAACACCAAGTGTTCTCGAGCCTTCCACCTTCTAGTGGCTGACTCAAATGGTGCGCGCATTTAGTCAGTCATCCTAAACTGCTGTGCAGTGCCACCGGCTAAGGGGGTTGGAAGAAATGGCCTGGGGTCCAGCCACGTGCCGGAGGCCTGGAGATAGGGCCTGCCCAGCCCACCTGAGCTGGTGCTAATAGACCCCTTGGTGGGCAGAGCCCTCTGGAGCCCCAAGCCCTCAAGGTGTCGATTTCACTGCGACTCCCAGTGACGCAGCCTCTGGCCCAAGACTGAACAGCACAGGCCGCAGGCAGCCCTGGTGGTCGCTCCCAGGAGAAGTCTGCTCCCCTGCAATGGTGCTTTCCCGCTGCACCCCGGGCAACCTAACAGAGGGAGAAATTCTCACATTCTCAGAAGTTATTGAAGGAAATGTTCTTAATTTAAGTGTTTTATACATTTTCAAAACTTTTATGACTGCCACTACTATTACATGTAACTTAAGATGGTCTCTAACCTAGACAAAATGATACAGCATATTTCTTTAATTCTTAAATACACTTCCCCCGACATTTTGACATCCTCGAATTCAGGATACGACTTCCTATCAACGGCAGACTGCAGTTTAATTGACAGCATATTTTCATTCTTTTCAAAGCATAAAGTATTGGTATGTCTTTCATACTCATGAAAGATGATAGCATCTCAGCTTGATACAATACTGCCCCATTAATTTACTTAAAGTTTAATATCTCAGAATTCCAGGTGTGTGCTTTGGAGGGAGTTCTTGCTCTTCTAGGAGTGAGATTCTATGCTCCTCGTCAGAAGGACTCATGACCCAGCAGAGATCAGGCAGGCGGCCAGGAGGGGTGGAATGAGAAACCCCTCTGCAGGCCAGAGAGGCGTGCAGCCACAGTCCTGCTCCTCTGTCCATGTTCTCAGATTCCGGGGGACAGGGGTCCAGCCTGGAGCCCGGGGGGCCACTCCCAGGGCAGAGACCTCTGGCCAGTCTCACGGGCAGTCAGGCAGGCCTTTGCCCATTAGTGAGGCACCCCACCTTCCCCAGGGCCTCCAGCAGCCACGTGCCCGCGTTCTGCAGGCATTATTCCTCTGAGTCTCAAAGGGGCCCTTTGAGAAAGGCGCTGCTGGTCAAAAAGCAGGGCTCCCAGAGTTCCAAGGATCTCCCTGTTACCATCATTCCTCGAGGGACAGAGCCAGGCTGGGAGCTGGCAGTGCTGCCCCAGAGCCCCCACAGTTGTTGTGGGTCTGGGGGAACCATGGATACCAACCCACCGGCCTGGGGCCTCAGTGCAGCCTGGGAGCACCCGGGAAGCACACGCCCACCTCTAAGACTTCTGCTAGGGCCCCACAGCCCTCCCTGCCCCAAGGGAGATGATTTCCCTTTCCTTCCAGGTCCTGTACAATTCCCACTGCCTCAGGGCAGGCCAGCCTGAGAAAAGAATCTGATTAAACGAATTCACAGGAAATTGTGGGGACAGGAGGGGTTTGGGGAGTTTTCTGCTGAGTGTTGGGCAGTTGTGAGCATTTGAAGGGTTATGAGTGGCACCAAAGAGTGGGGCAAGAGGGTGGGCTTGCTGGAAATGGGCAGGGCTCCTGGGTGGGCGGATCTTAGGTGCCAGGCACCTGGCTGGGTCCGTCATCTCTGTCCCCTGGCCGGCACCGTTTCCCAACATGCGCATGGTGCCGGGCCTGAGCTCGTGCTCCCAACATGCGCATCGTGCCGGGCCTGAGCCGGTGCGCTGGGACCAGCGGCCGCTCCTGTTCTCCCCTCCAAGGCCAGCCGGCCATCTGCGGACTGACGGTGCTTCCACAGGGCAGAGGCGAGGGGACCCAGGCCCCCACGGCCCTCGCCATTTCAGCCATTGGCTCCTACTGGAAGGAATCCCCCACCCTCTTGGGATTCTGTTCAGCTAGCGGCCAGCTTCCTCTCTAAGGCCTCTTGTCTGGCCCTGCGGGAGGGATGCACACAGCCAGCGACTGAGCGGCCCTAGCCCCCTCCGAAGGGCAGGCCAGGCCCCCAGCCCCGCCCCCCAAATCCTGCGGTAATAAGGGCAGAGGAGGGGACATGCAGCTCCCCAGCGCTCACCTCTCAGAGTTCCCGTCTCCCTGTCTTTCCCTCACCGCTCCCTCCCCCATCCCAAAAGGCTCCTTCCTGCGAGAACCGGCTGGAAGGGGGTCATTTCTGCGTCGTCTCCCGGCCAGGGCCGCAGCTCGCTGCTCCCGGGCCGCAGGGGTGCCCGGCCCGCAGGGACCCCCCAGTCCTTGCTCAGAGGGCACCCCGGCAGGCCACCCCAGCTAACACCGCCTGTCGCATAGCCCTCTTCTCGACTTGGTTTGCCCCAAAGCACTTGTCATTATTTGACATAGTTTACACTTTATTTTGCCACTAAAATCTAAGTTCCACCAGGGCCACGATTCCCGTTTTGTTCGGCAGGCACCGTATCAGCAGCACCCGGAAGAGCACCTGGCAGGATCTAAGCGCTTGGAAATGCTCTTGATGAAGAAGAAACTATAAAACCGCTCATTATAAAATCATCTTGGTGTGTTGGCTCTAACGTTTGTTTTCATATCCTGCGCCTACCTCCTCAAACACCTCCCCGTCACCCCTCCATCTGCTCGCACATCAACAAACAGGCATGGAGCACAGGCTGGAGAGCAGCATGCACCTGGCTCTGAGGCGTCCCCAGGGACAGTCATGTGAACAGGCGGTCCGGCCCCAGGTTTTCAGGGTCTAGTCCAGAAGGGGGCACGTGAGGCTAGCGTTTGGAGTTGTTAGGCCTCTGCAACTACCTGAAGATGGAAGAGAAGGTATCCTGTGCTCTGTGCTCAGAGGAGAGAAGGAAGGCCGCTGCGGCAGAGGCAAAGTCACGTGTCCCTGCCAGCACGCGGCTAGAATAACTCAGGCAGGAGGAGGCCAGAGAAGGACGCAGAGGGGGACCAGCCGTGCACCAGACGCACAGAGAGCAAAACCGTGGGGCCAGCCACTCCTTGGCGGTGAGAGGGAGGCGGGGAGGGCAAAGCCTGAGAAAACATGACTCTGTAGACTCTTTTTTTTTTATTGAGGTCATAATAGTTTATAACATTGTGAAATTACAGTTGTACATTATTATTTGCCAGTCACCATATAAATGTGCCCCTTCACCCCTCATGCCCACCCCCAACCTCCCTTCCCCTCTGGTAGCCACTCATCTGCTCTCTGTGTCCATGTGTTTCTTTATCTTCCACATATGAGTGAAATCATATGGTGTTTGTCTTTCTCTGTCTGGCTTATTTTGCTTAACATAATACCATCCAGGTCCATCCATGTTCTGGTGAATGGGACGGCTTTGTGTTTTTTTTGGCTGAGTAGTATTCCGTTGTATGTATACACCAAATCTTCTTTATCCACTCATCAGTCCATGGCACTTGGCTTCCACGTCTTGGCTATAGTGAATAATGCTGCAATGAACATAGGGGTGCATAGGTCTCTTTGAATTGTTGATCTCAAGTTCTTTGGATAGATACGCAGTAGTGGGATCGCCGAGTCGGCACACTCTTGTTGGGACAACGGAGTGTGTGATAGTGGCGTCAGCTGAGACAGAAGATACAGGAGAAGAGGTGGTCAGGGGGAGAGAAGGTCAGTTCGGATGTGGACACACTGCACTGGTGGTGCCTGTGAGCCCCCCGGTGGGGACGGCAGGGAGCCGTTGGAATGGACAGCTAGAGCTAGTGCAAGAAGAGAGCTTGGGCTGGGAAGGGCGCTTAGGACTTTGAACTTAGAAATGGCAACTGAAGCCAGAGGATTGGCGGCAGCCACAGTGGGGACTGCAGAGGCCCTGGTTCCGAGGGGGAGTGGGTGGTAGGAGAGCAGAAGAGGACAAATGTGGCATGTAGAGGGGAGGGCGTGTGAACGGAGAGAGAAGAGGGGCAGCCGGGAGGCAGCAGCTGATGCGGGCCAGGCTGTAGCCCTGGAAATGCAGAGAAAGGAGAGAGGATTTAGCGACAACAGATGGGACATCGCGGTAGGGGGTGCCAAAGCACACTGGCGGCTGTGACTCACACCCAGGCACCCTCTGCAGCCCCAGTCTGAGTCCCTCTGGTTTGGGACAACTCCTGTACATTTATTCTGCGGGGCTGTCCCCTGATTACTGTTGGGAATTCCCCCTGGCTCCCACATCAGCAAGGATGTGTCAGGGATCACTGATCCTGTGCGTGTCATCTCAGAGCTGGTGTGGCCCTTTGTCAGAGGGTGAGGTCCCCCCAGAACCTCTTGGCAGGTGTGGAGAGTGGTCCTCGGCAGCAGTGGGCACCTGCACCCAAGTGCTTCCTCATCTCTGTGTAGCCAAGACACAGATAGAGGTGATCCTGAGAAATCCGAGACAGGAGGAAGACAGCTTCTCAGTGGCTGCGGGCTGCTGGACCTGCCGCCCTCGGGCCTCCGGGAGACTCCTTGACGGGTCTTTCTCAATACCTGGCGCTGTTGATCGTGGCCTATGGGGCTGAGCAAAAGCCCCAGGCTTCCTGGCTGATGAGGCTGATTTTCTTGGCATTTTCTTTATTATTTCTTCTTCCTCGTTCCCATCTGAAGGCTGGGAATTGGGCTGGGCTTCCTTATAAGCGTGGGCTGGGTCGTGTCCTCTGCTGCCAAGTCACCCAAGCTGCTGCCTCCTCCACGACCAAAGAAGGGGAAGGAGAGGTTTAGCTTCAGGTCCCTGAACAGATGGCCAATTCCCCGGGATGCCAGGCTAGGAGGAAAACCTCCTTTTCAAAAGCCAAGACCTTCCGCCCTTGTACCTCAGTCCAATTATATAAAGTGAGGGTGTGACAAGACCATCTCTAAAGGCTCCTCCAGCAATGGGTGGGCTGGTTCTGCCCCATGACAGGCTCCCGAGACTTGAGCAGGATGTCACTGAGAGTAGGATTCCTCTGGGATGTATTCCCACAGATATGAATACAGTCATTCGCCACATGCCGATGTTTGGTCAACGATGGACTGAGTACACGACAGTGGTCCCATAGGATTAGTACCATACAGCCTCGGTGTGTGGTAGGCTATCCCATCTGAGTTTGTGTAAGTGCACTCTGTGATGTTCGCACAATGACGAAATCGCCTAACGACACATTTCTTAGAACACATCCCTGTTGTTAAGCAATGCATGACTGTTGTTCCTAAAAAGGTCACCAGGGAAATGGCCTCCCGGGCTGCTTAGTTAAGCCCTACGTCTTCTCTCAAGAGCCTCCTGGGGAGACACGGGAAGGGAGAGGGCAAGTAGAAACTCAGCGAAGAGCAAGACACTGCCATGATAAGGAGGAGATCCGAGACGCCTCTCGAGCCAGGAGTGTGATGTCGGGGCGTGAGCAGCAGCCCTGTGGTCCACAGCCCTGGTTTCAGATTCCCCATCTGCCACGCCTGGCTGTGTGGCCTTGGCACTTTATTGAACTCTTGAGTATCTGTATCTGAGAAAACCTTTCAGGCATGTTGTGAGGGACAGTGACCAAGTATGCAAAGTGCTTGACCCTTCCCACGTGCCAAACACACCTTACTTTCTGGCACATGTGTCATCATAGTTGGAGTCCAAACATGTCCCCTAACATGTGAGTATGGGAACTTCCAAGTGGGATGACAGACCTCTGGACTGACAAAGAACTTTTGCATGTGCCCTCATGGTCTGGTCCTTCTTGCCCATCCACACACCTTCTCTCCTGGTTCCTCACTACCTGGCCCTTCCTGGGGGGGCCCCACCCTGTTGTGCTCATTTATTCCAGCATCAACTAATTTGGGGGCCTGAGTCTGGGCTCCAGCTGGTCTGGTCCCATCAATACTCTTCCTGCTTCAGTCCTGGCACATGAAATATGACAGTGCTGTTGACCACCTAGGATGCAGAACGGCAAAGCTATGGAATAGGAGTTCGTTCTAAACATCCTTTCAATGGCCTGAACACCCCTAATGATCAAACAGAAAAAAAATTAATTCTGGGAATTGAAAATGACATTTGTCAAGAGCCTGCTGCATGCTGGGAACATGTGGCGCCTCCTCACAGCCTCGTGAGAATAAGTTCGATTAGCTCCACTCTACGAATGAGGAAATGGAGGCAGGAGAGTTAGCATTTTGCCTGAGAGGTGAAGTCAGGAATTGGACCCCAATCAGTCTCAGAATTTGTGATTCTTGTACCTCACATTGCTTGTGAGGAATAACCACACACAAGCCCAGACGTCATCAGTGCTGTCCTGCATTCCATTGTCTTGCCATTGCCATTTCCGGGAGCTACCATTCGGTACCATTTGCCATTGGGTAAAGACTCTGAGCCAGGGAAAGGGAGAAAGAAGCAGGAATTTCCTGAGTGAGTGGGAGCAACAAAGGACCTGAACTCTGTCATTTTCGTGGGCTGTCTTGTGCAACCTTAGGACCAGGTATGAATGGTGGAAAACAGCCCTAGGAAAAATGAGCTTACAATTTATCTGTCAACGATATCAGTAAAATATGCATTTCCCTGGACTATGTATTTGAGAGAGAAGCTGCGGAGTGGAAAGTCAAAGACGCCAGTCTTACTGAGTCTGCTTTTGCAAGCACAAATCAGCTTCCTTCTTCACGCTCTCACTGCTCCGTGGCGACTCCAGGCCTCAGTGAGATCTTATGTGGGTTCAGGTGACAGCCCCACCTGGCCACCCGACTCTGAGGTCTCCACCTGCTCCTCTGTCTGCACGCTGCTCAGGACTCGCATGCCGTGGGGCCCTACCAAGCTCGTGTGCAGTGGGTGGAGCAGCTGCTCTCTCTCTGTGGGTGTCAGCCTCCTCTCCAGGGGCTCCCTGTCGGCTTTGTGACCCCAATGGGGAGAACCAAATCTGATTTGGGGGCACTGGCAGTAAGGGAAATATTTTCGACTAGGGGAATCCTTTCTGACACCTCTCAGATCCTATTAATTATAATTACACACTCCACCAATATGTAAGGCCACTTCTTTCCCTAAAAGAAGGAAATCTTTGCCCTCAAAATACTGTCCTCAAAAAGGCTGTTTTGAGCCCCTTCCCCCCCCCCCCCCCCCCCCTCCCCCCACTGCAGCAACCTATTCATCCTGAGCATTTTACACTTAACTCGGTTTTGGTTTGTTGACTGCTTTGCTCGTCTCCTCTGTAAACTGGCTGCTCCATTCTGCTCCATCCAGCACCCTAGAGCCTGCCTGGTACTTACAGACGGAATGTCTTCAGCTGGGCTCCAGTGTGACAGCAACGGGGGGCTTCTTCAGGGCCTTGGGGTGGTTCAGAGAGATGGCAAAAAGGAACATGAAAGAAATGAACATGGATGAGGAAAGAATTGGCTTACATTTTTCAAATCTTTGTCTCCAAATTCATGGTTTTTTTGTTGATCTACATAGTGACACAACAAAATGAACTCCCTCACCCAGAAGGATGCGAGAGCCTCAGGGAGTTGAGCCTTTCCTGTGGGTCCCTGAGTCACAGCCCTGCAGGCCCTGGGGGCCTCTGGAAGTCGGTGGTGTGCGGCCTCCCCTGGGCACCGCCAGGCCTGGCGGAGGGTGGGCGCTCAGCCCTGCTGGCTCCCTCCCTCAGGAATCTTCAAACTCACATTCATGGAGATGGTCTCCTGGGGCAGCTGGTCCTGCCTCTTGTTAAACTCTCTCCCTTATTCGTCATAGGCAGACTTCAGATTTTTTTAAAAATCTCTAATACAAGTAATTTTTCTAGATTAACACTTAAAAAAAATATATACTTTTAAAAAATTCTCACAGGAACAGAAATATTCGGCCTCAGAATATTTCCATAGCTTGAGAAACCTAGAAAATTTAGGTAAATGAGTTATTTCCACCATAGGTGTTTCCCTCTCTCTCTGTGGATGAAATTGCTTCAATTTCCTCCAAAGCAGCATTTCCTAACAAATGATGCTCATACCCCCATCACTGGTCCTTGAAATTAGTTTGAATCTTGAAGGCTGTGTATATATTTAAATACATTGTAGCAGGTACCTTGTTCAGAATCAT